CCTTCATCCCTTGTCTATTTCTTACACTAGATACTAGCCGATAACCCCCCCCCCCCCCGCTCATAGGGAGTGCGTACAGTTGATCATAGTTCCTGGGCTCCCTGTGGTTTGCCTGTACTGAAGGCCGTTGTGTCTAATGAATGGTTACCCGGAAAAGGATGAGTTTCTTTTACGTCTAGTAGCTTTTAGGCTTATGTATATATATATAACCGAAGACAATATTATTATGTAGGATATGAATTAATGTAGTTTGTTAGTAGTCATGACCTGAAGATTATTTTTAAGAATTCAGAATATCTCACCTAAGACTTTCGATGACAAGGATCTAAAACCACAACACGTGAAATGGCCGCCACAAAATTGAGTTAAATTGATATTCGTCAATAACTATACAGTTGGATTCGCCAATCGGTAAATCTTCAATTCAACGATTTTTCTTTCTTACAGTATTCATAGAATAAACCAAATATTCATATTCTACGTTAACATATAACATAATATGAAGGTAAAGGCAGAGTTCTATATCATTTTGCCCAATCGAACGACGAAATAAGGCGAATTATTAATTACAATATGAATTGAATGCTAATTTAAAAGCCGGGTCAGAGTTCGCACTAAAAACATTAAGTCTAAAAAATGTGTCGATGTCGTTGTAGTTTATAAACCAATCACTGAATATTCACTTTTAATTCAACAATGGAGCTGCTTAGCGCCTTTATTCAACGGACTGTATAATCCAGGGCAGCATTTACTTTTATAACAGGGACTTCCATATTTATTTTTATCGAGTTGCCTGACCTTTATTATTTCCATTATGTTAGGGGTCCTTTTGAACTGATGGACCATATTATGATCCCAACTCTGAACTTATGCGCACTGTGGTTCAATGATATATTGTGATTGTGTCGTCTGCAACCTTGTCGTTGTTTTTGCTATGATAACTTGAAAAAAATCAGATAGCAGAAGCACCATGAATTCAGTGTGGTGCTGTCGATCAGCGTCGCTGCTGCAGTTGACCACGAGAAAACACTTCGCGACGGGTGTCTTGAGACACACTGACAGAGTGATCGCAAACGGCGCATCTTTTTGTTCTTATCCAGGGGAGACTGCTCACCTACCATCTACC